GAGGCAGGAGACTGGCTTGAGCCCAGGAGTTGGAGGTTGCTGTGAGCTGTGATGCCATGGCACTCTACCCAGGGGGATAGCTTGAGGCTCTGTCTAAAAAAAAAAAAGATGAGTGGAGTTTTTTTTTTTTTTCCCATCTTTCATGATAGAAATCAAATTGAGTTGTTGGGTGTGGGCCTGTCACAGATCTCACATCTTTTATTTCAAGTGTTAAGTTGGTCGTAGGTGAAGATGTTTGATCTGATCCCTTTTTCCTTTTTTGATATTTTCAAGGTGAAAGACTTGGTTGCCAGGATACATGGGAAATGGCAGGAAATAATCCAGAACTGCCGGCCTACTCAGGTGTCATTTTATTAAATAAATAGTTTTATTCGTAATGTTTTTGCTAAATAGTACTCTTCATACTCTTTGAAACAAAGTACAATATAACTCAGCACTTGCTTCTAATTATCTTAAGATAAATAGAAAATGCCAGTATAATACATGCTTTGAATGTTTTTTAGTTTTTGTTTGCTTTATTATAGTCATTAATTTATTTTCCAAAGTGGTTGATCTCATTTTAAAATGTTAAATTGCATCAGGTGGAGGTTATTCAGTGAGGAACATTTTTTAACAGCTCTATAGAGATATAATTCACGTATCATTATTTCACTCAGAGTGTACAGTGGTGTTTTGTTTGTTTGTTTTGCAGTTTTTGGCCAAGGCTGGGTTTGAACCCACCACCTTTGGCACATGGGGCCGGCGCCCTACTCCTTGAGCCACAGGCGCCACCCCACAGTGGTTTTTATTATGTTCAGAGTGAATACTTTCACCAGAGTCCAATTTTAGGATATTTTTGTCATCCCCCTAAAAGAAATCCCATACCCATTAACAGTCATTACCCATTTCTCTACCACTCTCATTTCCCTTCTCACTCCCCTCAAACCCTAGCCAAACTCTAATCTACTTTGTATAGATTTGCCAACTATGTGGTCTTTTCTGACTGGCTGCTTTCACCTAACAATAATGATAAATGAATCCATGTTGTAGCTTCTATTGCCAAATAATATTGTATCGTATGAATATATCACATTTTATTTATCTGTTTATCATTAAATGGACCTTTGAGTTATTTCCACTTTTTGGCTTTTAAATAATGCCTCCATGAACATTTGTAGACAAGTTTTTGTGAGAATGTTTTCAAATGAAAACATCTTGAGCTATGTACATGGGAGTAGAATTGCTGGACCATATGGTAATTCGATAAGTGTTTTGAGGCTATACCAGGCTATATTCCAAAGTGGTTGCATTATTTTACATTCCTACCAGAATGTATGAGGTTCTGAATTTCTCCACATTCTTGTCAACACTTGTTATTGTCTGTCTTTTTGACTAAATCTTATTACAGAAATTTATATTAGAAAGTGGAATCTCTGGCTCGGCGCCTATAGCTCAACCGGCTAAGGCGCCAGCCACGTACACCTAAGGTGGCGGGTTCGAATCCCCAGCCCGGACCCGCCAAACAACAATGATGGCTGCAACCAAAAAATGGCCAGGCGTTGTGGCGGGCGCCTGTGGTCCCAGCTACTTGGGAGGCGGAGGCAGGAGACTCGCTTGAGCCCAGGAGTTGGAGGTTGCTGTGAGCGTGATGCCATGGCACTTTGCCCAGGGGGATAGCTTGAGGCTCTGTCTCAAAAAAAAAAAAAAAAAGAAAGTGGAATCTCATTGTGGTTTTAATTTGTATTTCCCTAGTGACTAATGATGTTGAGTATCTTATCTACTTACTTATTAGACATATGTTATAATGTTTGCAGAAATACCTGTTCAGATTTTTTGCCCATTTTTAGTTGGATTACTTATCTTTTTCTTATTGAGTTGTAAGAATTCTCCATGTTTTAGATATAAATCCCTTGTTGGATATATAATTTACAAATATTTTCCTCCATTCTATGTGTTGTCTTTTCATTGTCTTGGTGGTATCATTTTTTATAATTTGTTTATTTTGTCAGTTAACATTTTTGGTGTCATATCTAAGGAGTCTTTGCTTAAGAGGCACATTTTTCTAACTCCTGCTAATAAGTTTCACATCCTGCTTGTTTACAAACTAATGTAGAATAGCCTGAAATGAAGCTTTTCAAATTTTTAAATGTATGTAGAAATCAAGGGGAAACTTGTTGAAATGCAAATTCTGACTCAGGTCTGGGTGGGACCTGAGATAGACTACATTTCTAGCAAGTTCTAAGATTGATTCCAATGCTGCTGGTCCAGGGACTGACTAAACATTGAGTAGCCAGGACTGGGAAGTTGCTTATATTTTATATCAAAATAACAGGAACAGGAACTGAGTATTAACTAAGAAAGCAACCCCACTATTTTAAGTCTTTGAGAAATCTTAAATTTATGGGTTTTTGTTGCTTTAGTTTCTAACTTCAATAGATTGTTTTATAGGCTGGCCATCTGTCCTGATGCGGCATTAAAACAAAATAATAGGAAAACTATATTTGCTTAACATTTTAATTTTCTTAAGTACATACTTCTTTTTCTGTACTGGTGAGAAGAATAACCTGTGGCTCAGTGGGAGGGTGGTGGGTTTGAGCCCAACCCAGCCAAACTGCAACAACAATAACAAAAAAAAATAGGGGGCGCCTGTAGTCCCAGCTACTCGGGAGGCTGAGACAAGAGAATCACCTAAGCCCAGGAGTTGGAGGTTGCTGTGAGCTGTGTGACGCCATGGCACTCTTCCGAGGGTAATAAAGTGAGACTCTGTCTCTACAAAAAAAAAAAAAAAAAAAAAAGAATATCCTGTGCTTAGATATTTTTTTTAATAATTTGACTACTGAATGTGAAATTTGAACCCAGTCACTATAACTTTTTAGAGAAATGCGCAATATAAAGATTTCAGTTCTTTTATTATCAAGGTTTATTGTATGATGTTTTATAAGGATTAATTCATAGTCTGATTAAATTTTTCTTTGTCTTTTTTCCCCCTTTCCTTTGTTAGGGGCAGCTTCATGACTTCTGGGTACCAGATTCTTAACAGGAGTTGCAGCAGCAAAAATGTGAACCAAGAGAAATTCAATAAGATCCTTTCTTAGGGGAGCAGAGAGGATTATTACAGCAAATGTGCCACTTGATTAGTATGATGCTGGTAATGAAGAAATTATCATTTCTGAAGCAGATATGAAATGTGATCTGCTTAATTGTTCAGGCAACTGATCTTTTTTAAAAGAGCAGAGTTTTATAAAAAGAGGAAGGGATAAAAAAGCAGCTAATAGTTAAATGTCTGACCTGTCCCTATTAACTCCTCTTTTTACATTGTAAGCCAGTTTTCTTTCTTCAGATAGTATTTGTGGCATTGAGTAATCAGAGGAAATAATGCTAGAAAAGAGTTTGGACTGACTGAAGAGTTGGATGTGGAAACCAAGACCAAGTTCCAATTTGGTTTAATTTTCCTCCTTGGTTATTTTAGTATGCAAAGGGAAAGCTTAGAACTGAGTTAGGAATAAAAGGCTTAAATCTCTTCTATAACTCCTATAAACCACGGGGATATTTTAGTCCATTTATTTTCTGTGACTATTCAAGATTATAAATCTGTTAGGTTTTTAAAATACATTTAAACAAGCAATTGAGAAACAGAAGTTTGGTATATTGTCAGATCCCCTGGGGGGGTGGGGAGGAAGTTAAGCTGTAAAGTTAAGTAGCTTATTTCTTATGCCAAAACAGTCTTATGCAGTTTGTTTTAGATTTCTTTTAAGTGCATATATTTTTTTAAATACTGATTAAATCTTAGAATCTTGGCTAAATTTTAGGATTCTGACTATAGATAACCATGTTACAGAAATCTATATTGTAAAAACCTAAATATCTGGACAAGTTCCCAAAAACCTTATTTTCATGAGTATATAACTTTGGCAGAGTCCTAGATAATGTTTATTCTTTGGGACACTCTCTGTGTGTGCACACATGTGCTTATACCTTGAAGTTGTTGCACTTGAAAACCACAGCTGCTCTAAATTCTTAAACACTGGAAAGCCATCCTTTGGTTTAAATGGTGGAGAGTTAGGTGAAGTACATATACTGGTTTTAGCCAAGGGCCCTTTGAAGGCTTTGGTAATAACACATTCTCACTAGCCAACTGAAAAATTATTTTGTTGACTGAGTGTCCCTTTTAGGAGGATATGTTTCCTGAAAGAGAATGCCAACTTTTTTTGTTCTTTTTATATTGGCTTGTGTGACCTGTTCTCCTGAGCACTAGTGTCTCTAGTTGTGCAGAAGAAAGATAACAGAGAGAGGTGGGAACTGAACTTGATGTTCATAGTTTGAGAGGGGAGAAAATAAATTCTGAAAAGTAACTTTCTACCTCTCATTTGAGGCTTAGGAGTAAAAAACATTTTATCTTAAATTTACCATTCAAAATAGCATCAGTAACTTTTGAGCTCATGTCAAGCATTGGGCAGTTAGAGATTTTTAAGGAAGACTAAATATGTCCAGTTTCCAGAACCTAAATGAGGTTGCTGACTGAGGCACTAACAGTCAGACCAACAAAGTTTTATTCTGTGTTGAGTTTACTGGTAAGAATATTATCTTGATACTACCTCTTCAGGGTATTGTTACAAAATGCCACTTATGGTTAAAGAGATAGATACAAAGAGTTATATATTTGACAGAAGCTTGAAACTCTGGCATCTATCTGCCCAACAATGGGGGCTTTCACTCTGTAATTTAATAATTTGTAGATACATTATTTGTGTGTAATTTTATAAGTGTTCATATTTTTCTCATTTTGCATTGTGTAAAGTGTACAAAATCTCAGAAGTATAAAATACTGCTTATATTGCTTGTAATTACAGTGTGTAAATATTTTCTAATCGTGTACATTGATGGGGGGACAAGTGGGTTATTTAGGTTTTTTTTTTTAAGTGACCCTTTTATATTGCAGTTTCAACAGATAACTGCCCATCAAATTTAAAACCACTTTGATACATTTTTATTTAACAGTTCCAGCGAGAAAAATCTATTTTTAATTGTCTTTCTCCATTATAGAAGAGTACTTCATGTGTCCCTTTAAAATAAATGGCCAGATGTCATTTTAGGCCCTTGTATTTATGACTCTGGTAGCAGTCTTTAGTCTCTAGGTTGTAGTCCAGTATTTGCATTTGGGTTCTCATAAAAATTTTGTGATTCTCTTTTAGCGCACGTAGCCCATGGTTTTTCTCCCAAATCAAGTATTTTCCTTCTTCCTCTTGAGTCCCCATGTGTTGTCTCCCTCCTGCTGTTGTCCAGTGAATGGGATGGTAGAGAGGGAGAAAACGTTCATTGCACAGAGAATGTCAGGCCACTTTGGAGACTTGGCAAATAAAGCTTGCACTGAGTGGTGTTTGGCAGTATTACTGTGCCAAAAATCACCTTGTCTAATTTTCTGGATATGTATGTCAAACTTATTACCTTTCTTGCAAGCTGAAAATTAAGGTACTTATAAGTGTTTATGCTTTTGTGTGTAACTGTTGCCTTTTCTAAACTGCTTTTCTTGTTAACTGAAAATATAATTCTATTAGTTATATCATGTTAAGTAAAGAGGCTCTCCGTGCACAAAATGCATCTATGTAGCAATCAAATAACAGCATTTGTACATTTTCTGTCTTATCTCCTGATGGCGGTGGTGCCTTTGTCACCCTTTGGAACATTGGCATTCATTTTTGTTTTGAAGCACAAGTAGTAGCTTGCTTTGGACTTCACAAAAGTCTCCCCAGATGTAAAAGATAGAAAATAGCGTGTTATAATCCAGGCTCAGTTGGAGCATTTACATTTTATTTGTATCAAAACAAATATACTTGGTTATACTTGGTGGGGACTGGCCAGTAGTAATATGTGGAGTCTTCAAGCTAAGAGTAATTTTGAAATTTAAAAAATTAAAAATTTTAAGAGGTGGCACATCACCAAGTGACTGAGTTAGAGGATTAGGCAATGACTGTCATGGTTTGTCTCTAAGGAGGCAAGAGAAGGGTTACAGGTGGCTGGGCATGCAGAGCAATTAGCATGATCTGTGATTGTTATTTCTTACTCATTAACAGTGTTGGTACTTCTCATTACCTGTGCATTTGTTTACCCTGGGCAGTCCTGTCAGCCAGTTAATCTACCAGCTCTTAGGCAGTAATGGCAGATTTCTTTTTTCTCTCCCCCTCCCCAAGATTTTATACATCTTGTTTAAAGTCCTATGAATGTATGTGTGTGTTATTAAAATTGCTTTTTCTCAGTTTGAACATGTGTTTGGTAATATTTGTTTGGGAGGGGGATGGCAAGTATCTCGAATGCTGTTTTCTCTCCTGCCCCATCCCCTAGTTCAGTGGTTCTCAACCTTCCGAATGCTGCAGCCCTTTAATACAGTTCCTGTGGGTCGTGACCCACAGGTTGAGAACTAGTTTTTAAGCTGATTTATTCTGCCCTACTTTTTAAACTGATTTATTCCTCTTGCTTTTGATTGTCCAGGTTTTTTTAGCTTGTTGTCTCCTGTTTCTGGAAAACATAAAGCCACAGTTGTACATAGTTCAATTTTATGGAATCCAGTTAATGATTTGCTATGTAATTTGCAGTCAGCAATCCAATAATCTCATTCTTACCTCATTGACCATGTTCATTCAACTATTCATTCATTGGGACAATTGAGTACCTACTACATGTGCGGCCTCTTTTTAAGATTGAGGACTCTGGTGAACAACTCAGAGCTCTCATGAATCTTATCTGCTGGTATCCAGGTTAAATACTTTCCATTCTTGGGCAAAGAGAACTAGAAAAGAATACCCTTGACCTAACTCCCCTGTAGTAGAGTTTGTGACCAAGAAAGGGGAAGCCATAATGTAGAGGACCATTTCCAGCCTGCCAAGCAGATATAGCTTTGAGTATACCACCTGAGGGGGAAATAGAGGTTGATATCTCATTCTAGGAGAAACTGTCCTTATGTGCTCAGAGAAAGGGTAGACATTGTTGGACAGAGGCCTCAAGTTCTAAAAACTTATTTCTCCTTTCTAATAACAGGTTGGTTAGGAGACTATTTGTGAGCATTTTGCTCCAACAGTGGGGTGGAGGGATGGGAAGATGACAGCCCAGACAGAAGCTGAGACACTGCCACAAGTATTTACTCAGGGGCAAACAGCACAGTCTTGTACAAGTTAAGGGCCTTGACCTTGCCCCAGATCAGATCCCAGACTCATCATACAAGCCATTTGATCTTTGACAAGCTACTTAAGCTATCTGAGCTTTATTTTCTTCATCTGTTAAAAGGAATAATAACAGTGTCTATGTCAGTGTTTATGAGGACTAACTGAGCTATTGCATGAGAAGTGTTTGGTACAGTGCCTAGCATATAGCATGAACTTACTAGATGCTAGCTGTTAATTGTTTACGTCTAACTTGAGGCTCTTAGCAGATGATAAGTAAAATTGATCATAAGCACAAAGACACCTTAGTGTGTACTGATGGCAAACCATGTCTCCAAGGATTATAGTTGTAAGCATACTCTCTTCCTTTGGACACATGGAGTTCCAGACACTTCTGTGCCCAGCTCTGTCTCTGCTGATTTAAAAACAACTTCTTTTCAGCAACCCAAAACTATAAAACTGAGAAATAGGTGATGGGTGGTAGTTTTCTAGCATTTGTGGACATGTCCTGAAACTCCTAACCATTCCCTAGGCTGGAGTCAAGAGAGGGCAAACCAGGAGGCCCAGCTTTCAGTCTGACTCCCAAGACACTGAGGGAGGAAAACTCAATAGGCAAAACAGGCCCCTGAGGCACAGTTGATCAGACTACAGCATTGTTGCACTGCTAACAGTCTCTGCTAAAGAAGCACCTCAGCTGTATGGCCAAAATAAAGATCACACCACCTAAAGGGAAAGTGCTGGGCAAACAAGAGGTAGAGATGGGAGAGCAGGAACAGAAATGCTGCCACAGTGGACAGGAAGCAGGACAATGTCACTAGGCCAGAATTCGCTTGCCTTAGGGAACCTGCTCAAGTTTCAGGAATCATACCGACCGCCTTCACCTGGGATCCCTGCTACAACGAGTAACTGTTCTGTGCAAAGTATGGTGGTAAACCCTAGTGTGTAGGTGGCTGAGAATCATCGCTGAAGATAGCCAGCACTACCCTTGGCCACATTCTTACATCACAGTTGGGGAAAATAACCTACCAAAAGCAAAACTCAAATTTGTGGGGTTTTTGTGTGTGAAGTACTCCAGGTTTCCAAATGAGATCCTGTAAATGGCCTGCCTATGTTCCAGGGCACAAATTCATAGCTAGGTTAGGATTAATTTCTTGGTGTGCTTTCTTTTCCACTGTTAGTATTAACCTCATTCATATTTTAGCTGGATTTGCATCTTCAAAGGAGCTTCCTTTAGACAGTTCAATAAATTACCTTTATATCTCATACTTTCATTAGGTTCAGAGATATCAGTGGGAGGACAGAGAGAAATGGATTGTAGTCTGAATCACCCTTATCAAAAGTACTGAAGTAACTGCAATGACATTTTGGCAGGTGCCTGCTAGAACTCAGCATTGAACTCATACATTTTTGCTTATTTAAAAATGTCCAAGTCTGCCATCAGCACCTCAGAGGACCAAAGCTTGGCTCAGAATTAAGTTGAATGAGATGAACCTTTCACATTGGCCTACTTGCCACACCCCCCAGAGGTATCTGAAGTTGGAACAGCAGGTTCTGTGAGATCTTGGGCTGCTGTTTGCCTTAGCTCACTGGGTCCCTGCAGTTTAATTTATTTCTAGTCTGGTACCATGAATCTAGCAGTCTTCTTGCCCTACCCCCACTATTACAATCCCCTTTCCTACAAGGACTGCAGATTTATCTTTCTTTTTTGTTTGTTTTTGTTTTTATTTGAGACAGAGTCTCACTTTAGCACCCTGAGTAAAGTGCTATGGTGTCATAGCTCACAGCAACCTCAAGCTCTTTCTTGGGCTCAAGCAATCATCTTGCCTCAGTTTTTCTATTTGTAGTAGAGATGGGGTCTCGCTATTGCTCAGGCTGTTCTTGAACTCCTGAGCTCAAGCAATCCACCTGCTTTGGCCTCCCAGAGTGTTAGAATTATAGGCATGAGCCACCACACTCAACCTATTTTTTCAGATTTTCTTAGCCCTGCCTTTACGGGTGTTCCCAGCTCAGACTTCCTTACTCAATCCATCAGGGTTTCTTTCCTTCTGTAGTCTTTTCTAAACTTCTGGCTGATTTTTCTATTTCCCACTAGAAACCTTCTCATCTCATCACATGAAATACACTGCCTCCTTTTATGCCACTTCCTTGCTCCTCCAACATAAATCTGTGCATAAACTGTGCTAATGTTTTTCCCTTTGCTAATATTTCCCCTTCAAACTTACCCTGCTTCCCCCTTCTCAGACTTTTCTAGTCCTGCCTGTCCTCTCTAAACAAACTCAAGAATGAACCTCATAGAGCCTCTTTTCCCATCTATAAAATGGGACTATTAATTCCTCAGGATGAGATCAGGGTACAATTAAAAAATGAGGCCAGAGCGGTGCCTGTGGCTCAGTGAGTAGGGCACTGGCCCCATATATCGAGGGTAGGGAGTTCGAACTCAGCCCAGGCCAAACTGCGATAAAAAATAACCGGGTGTTGTGGCCAGCACCTGTAGCCCAGCTACTCAGGAGGCTGAGGCAAGAGAATCGCCTAAGCCCAAGAGCTGGAGGTTGCTGTGAGCTGAGACGCCCCAGCACTCTACTGAGGGCGACAAAGTGAAACTCTGTCTCTTAAAAAAAAAAAAAAATGGGCTCGGCGCCTGTGGCTCAAGCGGCTAAGGCGCCAGCCACATACACCTAAGGTGGCGGGTTTGAATCCCCAGCCGGGGCCCACCAAACAACAATGATGGCTGCAACCAAAAAATGGCCAGGCGTTGTGGCGGGCACCTGTAGTCCCAGCTACTTGGGAGGCTGAGGCAG